CATTAGATAGCTGTTCCCTATTAGTTTGAGACTCTTCAGCAGGGCGAAGCCATGGCCTCACCAGCGATCGAACCCAAGATTTTCAAGTTACAACGAGAACCCGTCTAGACTTGAGTCACTGGGTGAAAAATCAACATCCTACGATGAGAAAACTGTCAAGTACTCCTTATTTTTCAATGTTTCCCTAACTGATGTCCATTTGTGACAAAATCTACACTAACTGATCAATTCCTCTGCATAGTTCAATCAGAATCCCTACAAAGCTCAAAATTTGAACATTTAGAAATGTTCCCTATATTAAAAATTGAACAGAATAAATCTTATGACTGATGCTTCACATGACAGTAAATTGCCTTACTACACTATTTTTTCTAATGACGATTACTTGACATGTAAACACATATATATCTATCTAAAATGCATTGGAGTGAAACACATCACTCATGAAAGAAATGAAGAATGAAAAGCGGAGAAAAATGTGGATAACAAGAATCCAAATTTTCTCTAATTCCCAACTAAAACGTAAGTTAGATATTTTGTTATTTATTATTTTTCTTGTAACAAATCAAGTGATCTATTCATGCAGCCAACGGTTATTTGATTGGCTACATACAAAAATACTTATATACTCTAGGTCATAAGCTCAAGGTTATATTATATGTCCACCTACTTTTCTATAATTTTTACAATAGACAGAATGAGAAATATTATGCTAATCAGATTATTTTTAGTGGAAAAGAGAACGGAGACTAGTACACAATATTTAATATAAAAATTCTCTTTTGTTACTTATCTGATCATCAATAACAGTGCGCAGTAGACATTAAGGACAGTTTCATGATAAAATAACCAGAGAACCAAGGAAAATAGTGAACGGAAATAATAACTCAAGGTAGATTACCTAAGGAAATATAATCAGTTAGAGAATCTGTGAATGTTATGGAGTACTAGACACTTCAGAGTCGCTAAATATTCACACGAATACCGGCTAACATGTTCGGTAACTTCCAAAGAACTAAGTGGAGATGTGTTGTTGAAGCCCTATGTTACATTCGGAACGCAAGGGAATAATAAAAAAATAAAAATAAATAATACAGTAAGTGTGAAAACTAACACAGTAATACTGGAACATGTATCCCAATACAGTGAGAGAATTACATAATAAAAATATTCGAAAAGTAACGTCTGAACTAGCTGTACAACAACCTAATCCGGGTAGTGAACATCACTTAAAAATGGTGAAATATGATCAGGTATTTATTTGACTAATAGACACCCATTATCTGTACAATATAAATTCTGACTGAAAGAATTCTGACCTAGTCGATGGTCGCATGTACAAAACACTTCAAAACCCATGACCTTACTGAGGATAGAATGCAAGACCCACAGACCATAAGACGAGTACGTTATCATTCAGCCATTGGACTGGAATCCACTCAGCTATAGAATCGAACTTTAGCCAATTCACCATAAGACAAACTCTCATCAAGTGTAGTTGCTAAGTATTTCTTCACACGATATTCCATTTGAACTCCAGTAATTCTGTTGTATGATGGGGTGTTAATGAGCAATAGATTAGTTTTCAAGTGTTACAAACCAAACATTTGCTCACCGCTTCCTGTGTTTCAGTGACTCTCTGACTGGTGTCAGTTCCTGTAGAAATCTGCTTTGGGCTTTCTTATCACTGTTCTGTCCCATTCTATCAGTATGTTCCTTAATTTTAACATGAAACGGTGTACAAAGATAAATAAAACAATCAGATTTTGCCAAAATTATCTAGTGAGCCACTAAGTATCCAGGATCACTGGTTAACTTTTGTTTAAGTTATGTACTTTACTAGTACACTAGGATGACTTTACAGAAGATCCAGAGCTAATTGATCTTCAGACTGACATCATATCTTAGTAACAAAATCAGCGTTTATACTACGGTGATTGCAAAGGAATGGGAGAATAACCAGTGAAGATTTGGGCCATTTTAACGGAATTTAAGCAATCTGTCATTGTTCTTAGCATTTCAAGGAATTTAGCCTATCAGCTGATACCCTTCTTTTTGCTGTTCAGCACGATGATCAGACCACAAATAATTCCACTTTGGATAACATTTGTCGACAACAATGTTTCAACACATTCTACACATGATATCTTTAACTGGAAAACTTGACTGTTTTAAGTGAAAAAAGAAAATGAAATGGCTTAATAATACCTCGTTTGGGTTTCTTCTAATTGACTGGTTATGAACTAGGAAGGATTTATACAACAGTATGTGACTGACGGCTTGAATACTATTCCTACACTAGAAAGACAGAAGGCAGACAGAGAAGGCATGATTTAACCTCCCAGGAGAAAGATAAATGACCAGAAAGTAGAGCTGTTATTTATTTCTTTTTCATTTTATTTATTTTTTTTATAGCTTGATTTCACACAGTATTTGGTACACTATGAAATTTTCAGCATGTGATGTAGGTAGCCAAAATTTATTAGACCAACCATTGATATCAGGTGTGCATCGATCGGGCATCGCACCCCGGACCATGTGAATAGTCGGCGAGCGTCCTAACCGCTGTGCCACCGACGCACATTTTATATGGTAAATAAATTGCGAACAAAATACAAGACAAGACCCTTGCTCTACTTTAAGGCCAGATTTTTAGTTCACAGCATACATAGGAAACACTGGGTAACATTGTCTCTCCTCTTTATCGGAACAATACAACACTGATGTGTAACTTTGCTTATATTCTGTTCAAAACAAGTGAAATCAGATAGAAATAATAAATAATCTGTTGCCGAAGGTCTCTGTTCAATGCTAAATGACTGTGTAATATGAAGATTTTCTGAATTTCTCTCTGGTTAAAACTTCAGAATATTTTCGGTATATTTTAACATCTATCAAATATGAGATAAACAAGACGCACCCAAATGACTAATTAATTTGAAGTCAATTACAGTTATTGATCCGGCTGACCAATGTACTCCATAAACAAATAATATTAGCTCTAATGGATTAGTTACAGGATTTCATCATGAGCTGACACTGGTTAGAGAACTACTGGAAAACCTGAGAGTACTGGACAGCTGTTTCGTCCTAGTTTGGGACTCTTCACAGTACGTACAAACCAATACTTCAATATCTAATGGATTAATTGCTGAAAATAAAGAATGAAATCTGGTTTATTTGTTAAAATGGAGCCAAGTAGATTCTCCTTCGGACACAGTAATTACCCCTATCAGGTACACAAAATAGTTCTTAGCTATCACATTTTATTGACTATCATTGCTTTGTAATCAAATAAAACTTCTCTGTCCTTCGAAATTCGGTATCCCTCTTTCACTGACACTAGATATCATCCCGCTGTTTGAATAGGCAACGGGCTCGCCTAGTAAACTAAAGGTCCTGGGTTCGATCGCCGATGGGGTCATGGGTGCGTATTGCTGAGGAATCCCGAAAAGAGAGTACAAAACCCCTGCCTAGTACTTCTTGGTTTTCGATCCACCGGGAGAAAGGCCACCTGAGTGGTTGCTCCACAGGATGATCTTTCAAATAACTGGGATATGTGTTCGGTTCTCCTGAAAACCGATGTATATTTATCCAGTCATTGGGTATATCACTGAGTGACTACGTAATATCATGCCGTATTTAATCTGCTCTAAACGTTATACGGAATAGATTTTCAAAACCAAGAACTCTGGAGGTTACGTTCAATCTTAGGTATATTTGAAGCACAACCGCTTGAGAGTTACAGAACCATGGGAAAACCACTAGACGACTTACTCACCAAATTAAAATCAAAGATAATTTGGACTATTTGTGACATGCATCGAATTATTGTGCACGGTAGTTACGTGTTGGGTGGAACATAATTACACTAGAGATTTCATAGTGTCTAGGTAGACATATAGTAAAAATTAATGAGGTCGTTGAAAAATACAGAATCGTAGAGACTGTTTGGCTGGCGTATTTGACACATATGTAATCAGTAATCTGGATTACGGTATGTTACATATAAGAGTGCCATAGATGCATACACCAATTTATTTTCTTTATAGTTTTTGGAATTGTGATATCCTGAACTGATTTTTGTTTTGTAACAGTTACTACTTGTGTATTTGAATTATTGATCTGAAAACAAAACATAACGAATTTTTTACATTTTGTTTATTCCAGTGAAGTCTGTTTGAAAATTGTGAAACAGAAGAGAAATACCTAATGCAATGAAAACCTGTTTCTCATGCAGGGAGGATACAAAACATCGAATTATTCTTTCAAGAATAGTTCTCATCATGACAGTGAACACTATTTTTACCTCAGATAATGGCAGACTGACTGAATTCAGCGTAGAACTACACATTACACCACAACAGTTCACGTCGCCACAATTCATAAGGCGCGCACATATTGGGGTAGAGACAGAAAGTGCAAAGAAACTAAAAGAAACGGAAAGATACGAGAAGAAGAAGAATTATGTGGAGAATAATGAGAAACTAATGCATCTGGTAGATCATAAAGAGTGAGCGGATCTGCGCTACTGAGAACGATTTTGAGCCATTTTACCAGCAGTCTCAAGTCATTAGTTCTTAGCACCTCGAGGGCCTCGGCCAGACAGTCTAAACTTCTATACATGGCTAAAACCAACAGTCAAAATCGAGGAAGACGATGGCTCTGAGTGCGTAGCACACATCCTAACCATCTCAATCGATGCAGTTTCGCAACTTCATGAATTGACTTAACCTCCTTACCTAGCTATCTACGAACAACCTCAATAATACCCACCATATTATATCGTCGAACATGACAGGTAGAACGCAAATACCTATAAACAAAGACAGCTAGTTTCTTCATTTCCTCCAACTTTAACAGCCGTGTCTCAACAGTTGTAATGAAGGATGGAGAGGGATAATACAACTCCACCACTTCACTCTCAATCCTTAAACTCTGAGTCAGTGCAGATCAACCCCACAGCATCATCTTACAATTGACAGGGACGAACCACAAGCCAAACAATTAAACTTTTGAATATTCGCATGTGTATTACGCATTCAAAAGATATTCAAACAAATAATTTATCATCCATGATTACAACAACAAAAAACAGCAACTGACAACTGGAAATTATACCCCACAAAAATTAGAACTTCTCATATGAAAAGTAACAGGTGTAAATAGAAAGAATAAAAGTGAATAGGAAAGAATTACAAGTGATGTAAAACTCAGACAAGCACACACACACACCACACATACACAAAATAACTCAGATCCATGATGAAAAAAATCAAAAATACAACAAAAATAATAACAATAATAAAACATTAGAGAAGTAATAAGTAAATAGAGAAATTATCAATAAGCATATGTAAATCAGGGCATCTTTGAAAATACATCACAAATGACGGTAAGCGGACAACAAGCGGATATATATATGTATATATATTACTGCAAAACAATCACAATGTTATCATCACGACAACAGAATCAAAATGATGCGATGTGATATCGATGAGGTTAGAGTACTTAGGAAGAAAAAAGATGACAATGTAGTATGAAGTATGTCAAATCGTAAGAAATTATTAAATTGCTTTTCCCTTCCATACAAAATAGAAATACATTTATGGAATATTAACTGACCAATTTGAGTGGAATATCACGTAAAGAGTTACGCAACAATAAGTATTACTCTCTCTCTCTCTTGTTAATGATCACATATATGTACTTGACAAGTTATTATTCATTCATGGAGAGCACGATGTTCCGGTGATATTGTTTCTATACGACGATAGTTTGGATGTTGAACTAAATAGAAGACGAGACCACCGAATATCACCAATGTGACACCAAGTATATTACCAACTACCTCAGCAGGTCTAAGTGAGGAATACCTGAATCATAAATGAAAAAGATTACTTTTAAATAATCAGTAAGTAGTGGAAACACAGCTCATAAGACAAAAAGGGGATAGTTAACCTCTAGAATTTCATCAATGATATTGAAGGCTTAGTCAGGACAAGGTAGCGGAACCAAGTAAATAACGCTATATTCATAAAAAAATGTTCAGTGAAGTGTAATGATATGCAACACGACATCTGGTTGTGTGATGTTCGTGAACTTGTTTCCAAGTACATGTAATTCCAACTTCATTTGCTGATAGTTTAATGCGGTTGTGTATCTTCCGACACTCTTCTGTCCAAAACAAATTTTGAATCACATAGTAGTCTTTACAATGGAGCTAGTATCTTACTGAAGTTTTTTACAGATTTACTATAAAACACTGCTCTCCTCAAGAAATATAGCAGTTCCATCTTCAAATTGGGGGGTTCCAATGGTCTTTATCATCGAATTTTTCCTAAACAAAGATTTTATCTCACCGTTTCCCACTTTGTGTTCTAATAAAGTAACATTCATTTTAGCTATCTGTGAACTCTGAATTCTTCAATGAGGTTCAAGATAGTTTCTACGTGTTCCACATAGTCCTTTTCTGTCTGACTATAAATGACTAGGCCAGCAACCCACGCTTTTATATATAATAACAAATGATTTTTATTAAAGTTGACTATTCATAGCGTATACGGTCTTAGAATAAATTTCATTGTATTTTTCGTTGTATCGTAGTACATGATTTGTTCAATTCAAAATCATGGGGGTGAATGTTGTAAGCTAATACAGTAATGGATCACAAAAGAAGTTGGGAACTAAATGCATGACGCTAAACACTACTGATCGATTGAGATGAGTCGTTGCACACCACTCTCATTAACCAGTGGTGCTCGCTAGCTGGATTGAATTGATCTGAATACCGGACAGTCATTTCGCTAGTTTGGGGGCCAAGCTCATCAGCAGCGTGCCAGATCTGACGCAGCATAGACAGTGGAATCAGTTCAAATCACCCAATTCCCAGCTAGCTACCTGAGCGAAGTGATAATGCCTTAAATTCAATTAACAATTTGTATATTGGAAATTACTCACACTGATCAATTGTGCACCACGGATAGCAAATACCTGACTCACTAGTTTGAGATCAATATTAATAATTGCATAAGTGGATAAGTTCATCTCAACGGGATGAATATTTCATAATACTAGAAAGACTAAACAATTCCAAAAGTAAGCAAATAATAGACAAAGACCAAAACAACTTACGCTTTTGAGAAGAAATTTTTCTCTGTAATCCCAGATATGCATACAGCAATCACTAGTAGATATAAGAAGCTACCGATTGTCACATGGATAGGTAAAAGTTTACTACGAGCACTTTGAGGCGTTTGAGGTACCAAAAAACCTACTAAGCCACCAACCCACTACGGAAAATTTTGAGAAAAAAATATATTAGGTACAATACATAAGAATTATTCGTCAAAAAAAGCAAATGAAGTGAACTTCAAATTAAGTGTACAATTCGTAAAGAAAAAACAATAGTTGCTGTAGTCCCTACCTGGAAGACAGAAGGGTGTCGCAAAATATTAAAATTATGAAATATGTTAATGAAGAGTGAAAGTACTAAGCGAATTGAGCCGTACTTGAACTGATGTAAAATCGAGTCGTTTGTCATTTAATCATTTCAGTTACGCCATATATTGCAAATCGGCAAGAGTTAGAATTCATGGGTCATTAGACTCTGTCTCAGCGGCCGAATGGTTAACGGACAGGCCTTATAACTCGGAGGTCCTGAGTTCGATCTCTGGTGGGGTTGAGCGTGCATCCTGTTGAAGAGTGACAAGCTAGAACGAAATACCTTCGTAGTACTCTCTAGTTTTCAATGATTTCCCTAGCTTAACTTACTTCATGATCAAACTTGATGCACATAAGTCACAAAGCTAACCGGTTTGAACCTGTTACTAGAAACTTATCACCATCAGTGATGAAACCATGAAATGCTCCGTGAAATCTTTTGTTTAACTTCACTGTACTACATAGACTTCAAATGATTTCAAAAGGTGTTATATATCCTATTTATTAAAATATACAGGTGATAATAAAAATAATAATAATACTAATTCATCATAAGTAATTAACATAACACGTAAACTTCTGTCTCAGCCTACCTGTAATCCAAACACCACAATCGCTGTTATCCCTAACCAACTATGAAGACTGTACATATTTGGTATAGTTAAAGCATTATGAAAATCAAATACTGCCTTAATACCCAAAACACCGAAAAGAAATGCAAGCATGTGTAAGATAGCATGCAGGATCTTGATTGGCATTTTACGATATGCTCGAAAAACACGATAGACTAAAATTGCTGGCAATAAGAAAAACAAACAAGAAAACAATCACAGAATGAAAAATAATTATGCACTAATGGTTTAAAAACATTATAGTTGTTGGTATTCACCAACCGCACGACACGTAATCACACTTTAACGGTTAGGAGTAACTAATTAACACATACCCAAGAGGGTAACAGAGTTTCCGTGAGACAATCCACATCAAACACCAAATAAACGTATCACTAGCAAGCACAAATATATCCCGACTATTGAAACTGACAGACATATGCCTAGACTTATAAAAGTAGATACTGAACAACTACTTCGCTCATTTAAGACTCACTATGCCTAAAGCAATGAACCATTCTCACGACGCTTCGATCCTGTCACCGCCTGCAAAAAATTAGTTCTCAAACATATACCATCTTACAACGTTGCTTACTTTCCGATGCCACCTATAGTCCCAGAAAGACCACATATTATAATTTAAACACTTTGGACTTACAAAGAAAACCGTAGCCGCCTTTCATCTCGAAATGTGCAAGTTGTGATTGATGATAAGAGTTCTTGTACACTATCAATAGATCTAATTTCTAAAACACGTGTCTGGTTTTAGTCCGAATTCTGTTTGATCAACAGACTGTAGTGATTCACGCAATAAAAAGACTAGTTGTACGTTCCATAACTACTACACGATTACGGTTGCTTCCTTCTTGTGGTAGGTGGTTTTGAATATCCGCAACTTACAGGTGACTGACTTCATCTGACTGCAGCGCCTCAACATCGCGTTACTTAGCTTATTTGATTACATTGCACACCCGGTTGAAAATTCTCATCAATACATTTACAACTTGGTAGCTGCACTATTTGCATTCAGAGGGTTAGAAAAGAGCCACTGGTGGTCAAACCAAAACATGGCTTCATCATTCAATGAGATCCACAACAGTTAGTTTAAGCCACGTAGGAATGTGTAGACTTCCTGGTTGGGGTCCTCGGGACGGTAAACACCTATGGTTGGAGAAAATTGGTGCTATGGCTCAAAATCGTTCTAAATGGCTGGTGCAGATGCATCCACTCCTTGTGACTTATAATACCCAAAAAATTATATTCTTCTTTGATATTACTATTCTTTTTGCCTTATATATCTGTTTGCTGTCTCTATTTTGCATTTCTTTTTACTCTCTTTCCTTGCTTTGTGTGCTATACAGAGTGCGGCGACTCAAACTGCTGCACATCGGTGCAGAGTTCTATGTTGAAACCAGTCAGTCAGAAACCGATTCGCAAGTATGAACCATCTTTCCCATGGTCCACGGTAGTCTATGAGGCACTTTTGAATTACAAACGTCAGTAGCCCAAATATGAAAAAAGATATGCTTATAAGTACCGAAAGGTAAATAACTAAAAGTCGGGGATTTCTGATGATCAACTCCACCTAAAACCTAATATCCTGTCTTAAAAGAACTAAACTGACGGCGACATTTAATTTACTATCAAAGAAATGTTGATAGAGGAGTCGTGAAAACTCGTGTTGTCGTCCACAATAGGTAATAACCAAGGAAAGTTAGAGTATCCACTAATTTCAATAATGGAGGAAGATGACAAAGGTCGGCTGTAAAAATGACATATCCTTATCGCTTTAGAAACAGTTTTGAGAAGCAACGTTTTCAAAGCACTGTAACTACTTGTGCAAACTAGAACTACTTATTTGCAAAACAACATGATTTTCGTCTACAGCTAAACAACCAATTCTATAAGGACAATCGAAATACATTTGCAAGCTTCTCAGGAATTAACTTTCCACCAAGTCAACAACTGAAAGGTATAGGTCCAAATACCTCTAGCATCGTTAATAGACTTTTTAAATACTATCAACGTTTTTCTTCTTTTTACAACCTGAGCCTTTTCCACTTTCCATCTGACAAAACACAGATTATACAACTATTACTTGTCCTTGGGAAGAAACAATACGGAATCTTCCCCTTAGATTACTGTCAGACTACTGACATACGTTAGTTTGGGCGCACATGCATTTCCTCTGTGGGGATAGACGAAAGATTACATCGAGTGTATTTACTAGACAATAATGGTTTTAAAATGTTCATTACTGGATACATTTTTAGAGAACAACTTTATACTAATATTACAGCAACAAAACAGTCTTATTTGAATTTTTAGATTCAATTTAATATCAAACTTACAATCCCCATACAGAAATACCAGACCCAAAACCATAAAAAGAGGATGGTAATTGAAGACTGTGCTGGCATTAGTCCAACTGAATCCACCCCAATATTTTCCTAACCAAACAGCAGTTAAAATAATCGCTAATAATCCGAAAACCTGAATAAAATTACATTTAGCTTTAAATTGTTTCATTGATGGTATACCTGGGATAAGATGACAAGAACGATGAATGTTTTTGTACTCCCAGTTGGTGATTCCACTGAATCATATCTATCCATTGGTGGCGTTTATCTGCAAGTAAAGTGAACCAAAAAGATAAGTAAGATCAAAATAAAGAGTATAGGCATCAGTTCAAAAAAGGTGAAATTAAACTGGGATTCAATGATCTAAGAAATATAAAGCAACTATTGATTGACGGATAGAATTATATTTTATTTCATTGTAGTTTCATTTCCAGGTTTCAGCTTAGTATGTAAGCATTCAGCGGAAGGATTTTCGTAAACGTGCGTAAGGTAATGAAATGGTCTGTAACATTTCATTCAAAAAGTAAGAGTAGATTATTTTCGAAATGACGTGAACGTGTGAAATTCGAATATGGACTGATTTGCTGCTATTAATATGAAATATCTAACGAAAAATTCTAACATTTTTGACAAGTTAACTACGTTTACACTATTATTAGTGGCTATACATAACACTGCATATAGTGTTATACGCAGCAATTTAATCACTAACGCGAATTCATTTTACTATAAGCTCCAATTCAAGCTACATTGAAAAGTAAACAAACAACTGTACTATTCAAGCGATGAAGACGAAACACAGAAGCTGTTCCAGTTACTAAAGTCTAATTACTGAAAAAACATATACCCTTCAAATGATGGCCAAGGCCACAACAGGTCTGAAATGTGTCTTTTTATGCAAACAAACAAAAGCAGCGACCAAGCATTAATTCTTTCCACAAGTCAGTGTAAACGAAACTGACTCTGCTGCAACAGACTCTCGATGATGCGGAAAAAGTTTCTGACCTTTCGTGTTTTTCGCCTAATCAGTTAAGCTAGTCAATTGATATAATTTGTCAGAGTAGTTGCAGATTGGTTGACAGATAAAACTGGTTTGAAGTCTGTTTCACCACTGTGGCTATGCAGCGACAAAAATTATTCCTTTCGCTGACTCGTTTAAGTGTGGTGGCACAGTGGTTAGGACTCTCGCCGACCATGCACATGGTCCGGGGTTCGATCCCCTGCCGACGCACACCCGATATCTATGGTCGGCCTGAATTTGGGCTACCGATATCCATGCTGAAAATTCCACACTTGTACTGAAAACACGGTGTGGAATCAAGTTGTAAATAAAAATAAAAAAATAAAATAATAAAATAAAAGTATTAGTTAGTGATATTACTAAAAATCTTATATTTGGTAACTAAATTGAGTTCTTTGTGTTCTTTTCTTAATTTTAAGGTAAAGAACAGTATTAACATCCTACTACATGAGCTTTTCAACTTACTTTGGTTCAGTTGAAAGTAGGTTGGACACACAACATGCGTTGCTGAATAGTTATCCCAAAGCCGTTAGAAGATTTTGGGTGATGGTGACTCTATAACGATACTCTCGAAACTGGTGCTCAAGTCAACCTAACCTAAGTCATTTAAGTCCTTTGTGAACTTTTCATTACATAGGCCTGTAAGCCTCTTGTGTTACTTATCTGTGTACTACAGCCAAGGGCTTTGTGTCCGTAACAAGAAAGTAGGGTGGTGAGTCTATAGGCTTGGTCGTAAGGACATTTCGTAAAGCATTAAGAGGTATAGTGGGAGACTCATGATGTGTTAAACCAATCATGTCTCCGGCTTTCCCCTACAGAGATTACCCTTTCAACCGGCTTGTCAGTTGCGACAAAACTTGGGTCAGGGTTTTATGTGATGGTCATGGTTGCAAAACGTTGTTCATTGGAGCACTGCTTTGCGTGGTTGAATAATTCTGGATCTGGCGGACATTTTGATTATTCCTACTTAGGCTTTAAAAGTCTTAAGATCTGCCAGTAGTCCGACTGAAGCTTACCCATCGCCTACAAATGTCCGACACTTGTGAGGCTCTGAAAACGCATGTTGACTACATCGCTTAGAAGTTCATGAACTGGTTATATTGTTGATCCAAGTTAAAAATAACATTCAAGATTAGTGAATGGCTGTAGGAATCCAGTAACGGACGAATTCAACCTCAATTTCCGAATGGTTTCAACTATAAATGGCTCTCATGATCGTTGTGTGGTCATCCATCTTTCCAGACCCACGCTTTGTTCACACAACTGGTTGACTCTCTGGCCCGTGTCATCTAACATGGCGGCCATAGTGTTGTCAGTACCGCTCCAGTTAGTGAAGGATGAATGTAGCACTGTTGTTCCCGGATGTATTTATTAACACCGTACGAAGAGAATATGGGACACACAATCACGTTGCAGCTCAGCAAACGAACTCATGCCCCCTGAAAACTCAATTGTTTGCAATATGACCAAATCAGTGCTGATAAACAAACTGATCGCTGAAGGTGAAATAGTCAAGCTCCAATTGGATTGATAGATTTCTTTGATCCTCTAGGCTTCCATGAATTTCACAAGCGCACTCACGGATCTGAGTGCTGTCGTCGTTGGCTCATGATATTAGAAGATTCTTTATAAACATTTGGTGACTTTTATCCGGTGACATTTTGGCACTTATTGCAGTGCCATCTATCAACGCAGTGCCTATTAAGTGGATTAAAAACACCTTTGGTATTATTCACACACACGTACCTACACATCCACCTTTTTTCAAACAATTTTCTGCGTCTTATGCTCCACTGAGGAGACTCTTTTCAGTCTCAGTGTTTGTCAACAGAGTGCAGTACGCCTTTCGTAAAATGATATTCCGCTAAAAATTAAACTAATTCCGGATACCTGAGAAGTTAAATAGATAATGCTCGAAAGTCTACCACATCTTTGGAGTTGTTTGTTATTCTGGGCCTCACATCAAAAAAATCACTAAGCGTGATGGTAGTGCATTTTTAATGGATAGTATGTATTACTTTCTTGATTACTGTCGAACACTAATGTTGGGCTTCATACACCACTTTCAATTTCACGTAAGTTAGACGATTTTACGGTTCATTTCGAACTGTGCTATATATTTCGTTTGAATGAAAGCTTTTCTTAAACAGAGAGCCAATTCATTCAGCAATCATATACTTTGATTTTGGACACCAAGTAGCCTCATAATTGAAGATTTGCATTGTAATTTCTTTCGTCTTCTTCTCTTTTTAACGGCACTGTCTTGGACCACAGCACTGATACAGTCATGTTGTCTTTCACGTTATTATTACTCGAATAGACTGCGTTAATCACTTCAGACTAAACTTTGCGGATGTTCAGAATATTCTTAGCAAATCTAACGAAGATTGTTGATCACTTCAAATTTGGTCTCACAAAACTGCTGACATTTCAGTAATTCCGTACTTACGGTGACCTTGAAGTTCTATGAATTTTTAAACACTTTTAACCTCACAAACTGATAATGATAGTCAATTCCACATCCTTTATATCCTTACTTAATACCGGTGTATCAAAATGCTCTCCACCTTTTGACAACGCAAACTTTTTCAATACATTTAAAATTCTAGTTCTTCTTCCCGCGTTAACTCAATAATTATCATAATAATGGCAATACATGTGTATAGACCTCGTGATCTCTTGTTTTCATATTTTAGCTACTCGCTAATCACGGAGACCTCACGGAATTCGTTGCTGAATCAAGTTATTTCCAGAGTCAATGATTTTGTATTT